TCTTGAAAGAGCATCGCGCTTGCTCATGGTTCAAGATTAGTGTATTTCATGTCTAAGATTCATAGCAATTGATGTACATCAAGTTTTCACATACTAATATATTTCATCTTGAAGTGGGGAGATGAGTATTACGCTACAGGATTTTGGGATTATTACAGGCCTACAAATTGATGGACTTGTATTAGTTAGCTCATCGATGGTTGGAATTGGGAAAAATAAAATTCTTTTCCAGATTGTTGTTATAATTTACTGGGTAGTTACCAAGACCCATATATTACATGTCACAGCCTGTTGAATCCTCAAATTACTTCTATATTTTGTATGCGTCAGGCTCATGTAAAGACATGCAATATGGGAGTCGTATGGACCAGGTATCTAAGAAATTATAGCAGAGATATGTTTGGTTAGCTGGGACATTTAGTGTGCTCTTGTTTCACTTAACAACTTGAAGAGAGTTGAGAGGCATCTACCTAACCCAGTAATCCTACAATTCTGATTCTCACATACTACAGACGTTCAACCGATATATCCAAACAATGTTAGAATTGATGTTCGTGGTAAGGCCGGTATAGATTATATAATTTACCATCAGTTCTACATTCTTATATGTGAGGTATGATGTGGAGTAATAGTTTATGGTGTGTAAGATTATGATGGTGGGGAGCAAGTGTTGAAGGAGTATTTGCATTGGAATAGATCTTGGGCATCACTTTATCAACTACAAGTTCCTGTTGAGCATATGTTGGTATTTATTTCACTTATAACTTCTTATATTAAATGTTGGTATTTATTTAACTTATAGTTTCTTATGTTAAAAGATTTCAATTCATTATTCTAATTCCTTCAATGGCTGACCTGACGGCATTAAACTCCAATAAATTATTAATAGGATTGTAGAATTGAGTAATACTATGAAAATGCAAATATACTTAGAGGACACATGATATCATGTAGACTCTAGGGAAGTGTACACTTTCCCACACACCATAGTAGAACGTGATGTCGATCCATCATAAATGAGTGCTGCTACACCCACTTATGGAGATTAAGGACAGCCATAGGAGATGTTAACTCAAGATGTGTAACAACCAAGTTTCATGACCCAATATCATAGTTGCCTCCATATAGGATGCACTAGCTAGGGTCCAATATACGTTGGTTCCACTTCCCATTATTATACCCCATCACCCACATATAGAGGCCACCGCTAGTTGAACATAGTAACGAACATACATGAGACGAGCCTGAGAAACATCGTGGATTATGAGATAGGAATGTTCGGTTAGACAATTATACACCAGACACAGATGTCATACCATGCATGCCTAGATACAAATGCTAGCTTCTACCCTATTCTAATATTTTTGTAATATAATTTATGTTAAGTATTTCAGTTGTTGAATTATTAGATCATTTAAAACTTCTTTCTTATCTAGTATGAAAGGGTTTTTTATATGTTTTATTTTTTAAAATTAAATGTCTTTCATCCATACATGTTTTATTTAATCTATCGAAGAAATGTGATAAATTATAAGTTATAGTACATCATTAATATATAGAACAATAAATTGATTTAATGCAATAAATAATAGCTTAAATAAGCCTATGGAATAAAACACAATACAAGAAAACATACATATTACTACATCGCTTTACTATTTTCTTAGCAGCCTACGCAGATGTGAGTGGAGTTGGGTTTGACTTGGGCAATAGTTAAAGTTAAACTCAAACTCATATTAAAGATGTTCTCAGTCCTCTCTATTGAAAAACTTCCTTGGCTGACCTTTAGGTAATAACTCCTTTATTTTCTTAATGCTTTAGGTTGGAAATATCAAGAGATAAGGTTTTAGAAATATGATAAGCATCTTATTAGTTCTCATTCTTATAGATGTGATATCATGAGATATGACGTGAGAAAGAAGGTGTCCATTTAGGTGATGCTGATTGCAGCAACCTAGACCTTGAACATGTGATTTTATATCATGTCGTCTCATAGATTTTTGTCCTTATTACTTCAACATGTAAATGACAAAGTAAATAGTCTTGATCTTCAGACCATTCATGGACGCAACACTTGAAAATCTCATTGCATTCGTCTTTCACTCCAATGGACTATCAACAACCCGTGCAATACAAGTATGCAGGGGCGGACCTATGATACCGTGAGGGTGGGCAATTTCCCACCCTCAATTTTTTTTAAAATCAAGGGTAGTTTAGACATTTTCTTCCCAGCAACCTATTTTGCCCTATTTCGCCCCCAAAAAAAAGACCGAAGCAACTTGAGCCGCCAGCCCCAATAGCGCTGTCTTCGGCTTTTGGTGATCGTGGAGAAGAAGGCGCCTGAGCCTGAGGTAATCTCAAAATCTTTTGAATAACTGAACTAAAATCATATTTGCATGAGATGGAAGAGGCGTGGTCTGGTGTAACAGCAAGCAAGAGGAGTTGAATGCCGAACGGTTGAAGCAGGAAATCTGGAAATGCATAGCCGCGTGGAGAAAAGAAGCATTTTTTTTTTCTCATTGAAAGTTCAGAAGGGAATTTGTTTTTTTCTGGTTTCCCCCATTCTATCTTTATTTACCCTTTTGATCTGAGTAAAGGAAGTGTTTAAATTTGTTTGTTGTTCATTTCAATGTCCAAGCTTTGTGTTAGGGCAGTAAGAAAAAAGGTTTTTTCCCCTTGCATAGAATGTGATTTCGCCTGATTATCTGGCTAATATGGTTGTTCGTGTAATCGATTTTCTCTAGACGATCCTTTAGGTTAAACATTGTGCAGTTTGTGTTGGAAGAAGAATGGCTTGAAAAAATAGTTGTTTTTTATTAAAAATATATCATTCTACTACTTTATATCTTCAGCTTTTGCTTCTCATCATGCCATTCATTCAGTCATTTTTTTTTTCTATTTTTTCATTGTTTTGTTAAGTCTAAATGCCATTCATTCTTTTTTTCCCCTGATATTTGCTTCTTTGTGTGGCATGCTAAAATCCAACTGATACCTTCCAAGCTTATGATGAGAGGAAATTGATACATTTAGCTGAGTTATATCCAAATGATTTTTCTATATTTGATCTTGTGGCTCTTAAAAGTCAATTATCAACTTATATTATTGATATGCGTACCAGTGCTGAGTTCTCCTCTCTAAACAGTATTGCCGATCTTTCAAAGCAAATTGTTAAGTTCAAGAAGGATGATGTGTATTCACTGGTTTATAGACTCATTATTTTACCATTGACTTTACCAGTTGCTACCGCTACAGTGGAAAGAGCATTTTCTGCAATGAAGATTGTAAAACATCGACTACGTAGTAGGATGGGTGATGATTGGCTCAACCACTGTTTGGTGCCTTATATTGAAAATGATGTATTTGATTTGATTCCCAATGAAATTATAATGCAACATTATCAGAAAATACAAAATAGATTATTAAGCTTGTAATAATTTTAATTTATCAATCATAATTATTTTGCTTTGAATTATGTTCTTTTTTATATATAAATATTAATATATAATATATTCATATGCAAAATTTGCCCACCCTGAAATAAAAGGCTGGTTCCGCCCCTGCAAGTATGTTTTCTTCTACTTGAACTATCGATTCTTTCTTCATTGACGATGCCTCAAATGCACTCTAAATATGATCAATTCATTTTGAGGTCAATAACTACAAACTTCACACCTCAACTTCACATGTACATACACCCCTTAAATAATAGAATTTAACGGTACAACACAACTAATAGTAGAAGTTGATGCCAAAAATAATATCAAAAAATTGGCCTTGATGAATTAAATGACAAGCATAATAATATCATATGCTATAAAGGGAACAGTTGAAAAGACATCAAAACAAAGCACTTTAGTACCCTATGTATTATAGTATCATATGCACTAATGAACTAAAAGGCAAGCTCTATAATCAAAAAATTTGCTTTTAACACATTTACTTACATTTTTAATTAAAAAATACAAGAAAATACAAAGGAGTTAACAAATTTAAAAAAACACTCACAACTTCGACAGCCAATAATTTACTTAAAAATAAAATTACCTGATTCCATTTACCACCTATTTCTACTTTAAAAATTTTATCAATTAAAAAAACCTACAGTTTTTTTATAAATTAAATTTGAAATAAGATTTACATAATTATTTTTATTTTAAAATAATTGATCAGATCATTTTAAAAATCAAGTATGATTAATTAATATAAATTAGACATAAATTTCAAAATTATCAATTAACAAAAATTTATTTTAATGATAAGAAATGTTAATTATTAATATGCCTATAATCATAAATTAATAACATAAGCATTACTGAAACAATTATTTATTACTTAAATTAATATTATTATCTACTTAAATATGATTAATTAATATTAAAATATTCGCATAACTCTTTTATAATTTAAATTAAAAAAATATACAAAATACATTAAAAAAACATTATTAATTATTATATATTACTTATCAATCATAATCGCTGTTACAAAACAAATTTAATTTAATTTTATTTTTTACTTAGTAATTAGCTTGTATTTATTATTATTATTATTATTGGCACCCCAACGACTATGCTGAAAATTTTTTTCATGATATTTAGGTTAATAATAATTATTAATGCGGCGGTTTATAAAATTTATCCTTATTATGAGCATTTCCGTCTTTTATCCTCCCTTAAGGAGAAATTATTCTGTACGCAGTCCGAACGTAGGGATAGGTTCGGATGCTGCGTATTTACTGCTTATTTGTTGCGTATTTTTTGTGTATTTAATTTTTTCTACGTATTTTTTGCGTATTTATTGTGTATTTTGTGAGTATTTAGTGAGTATTATTTATTTGTTATTTTTTGGCACAAAAAAAATTGTATAAAAAAATACGCAACAAATAAGCAGTAAATACGCAGCATCCGAACGTGTTCGGATTACGTACACATAAGAGTAGTGTAACAACCTTAAAGTTCTGAAATTTAATAAAATCCAAGTAAATAAGGAGAGGTCTGAGTTCGAGATCATTAATCTTCGCAGGGAGCATCCGATACGCATCAACGGCCACACTCCGGCGGCGCCGGAGGAAACCGAGCATAATCAAAACAGTAGTCATATATAAGATGCTTTGCTCTAACCCAAATTAACTGGTGAAGCTGATGCACAGTGAGCTTCTGCATCACCGGCGCCTTCCACCAGTATCTCCCTTCCTTTCCCCACTCACTTTCCCCGCACCGCCTCACCTCGTCGTCTACGGCAGCTTCCACGTCGATCTCGCATCCGTCGATCGTAAGCGCGCGGTAGGTGACGATGAAGGGGGAATGAGACCAGTTCGTCTTCACTCGGCCGCCTTGTGTCGCCCAGCCATCGCCTTTCCAAAGCGAGTTGTAAACCCCCATGGATTGATATCCCGGAAAGGCGACACCTTTCGCCTCTTGATTAAGGAAAACACGGATCGGCGTCTCGTCGACGAGGAAGACCACCAGTTTCTGGTTCCATAGGATTGAGTAAGAGTGGAAATCGGCGGTGGGGTTGAACCAAAGATCTATCCTCTGTTCTCGGTTTCCTATTCCGTTCACGTAGATGTTTGTTTGAACCAGGTAAGGCTCTCCCGTCGTGTTTCCGAGGAATTCGAAGTCGAATTCGTTACGGTTTGCTCCTTCCGACGACATCTGAACCACATTCGAACGACAAATTTCAATCGATTGATGGAGAGAACAAAGATGCAATCCTTATGTTGAAAACATAGATAATTGATTACATAGAAAGCCGTCACAGTGCCGGCGGAATCTCCACCGACGAGCTTGATCTCGGCGGTGGCCTTGCCGTAGATGTATCTTTTCTTGGAGACGAATCCCGCACCTGAAAGCCATTGAACAGAGCAGCATTGATTATTAAGAAGAAACCAGAAAAAGAAATGCAAAGATATTAACATATATGACGAAATCATTACCGGAAAAAGCGTCGAGCTTCAGCCTAATGAGCTCTCCGTCGTGGAGCATGTGGTCTTCACCCCAGCTGGATTTAAACAGCTCGTCGAACCTCGGACTATTCCCAGCGGCGGCGATCGCCACCCTGGACAAAGCGCAAAACAATAAAACAGCTAGCGTCGCGACGCTAGCGGAGCACATTGTTTCAAATTACAGAAAGGATGAAGGATGAAGAAAGACTTTGATCTGCGGTAGAGTGAGCTTGAGCAGTGTGGCGCTTTATAGGCCGTTCCAGTGGAAGTTTTATTTGGTTCGGTCGACCGAATGAGAGAAACATTCGGTCGCAGGCAAAAATCGCGTGGTACCGAGGTGTACCGCCACGCGATTTTTGCCTGCGACCGAATGTTTCTCTACATTCGGTCGGAGGACGTAATAATTGTTC